AGCGCTCACCGCGACCGCAGTCTTGGAACCCTCAGAGCTTCTGGGTTTAAAATAGCAACTCGAGGGCCCGCGCCGGGCCCCTCCCCAGCCGCCCGGTGGCCGGGCGCTTCGGTAATCGCAGGGCCCCTCCCCCGCACCGCCCTTCGCGACCGCCCACCACCTGACGCCTCGGGTGTCAGGGTGGGAGTGTGCCCGGGGTCCGCGGCACCGGCTCCTGAGGCCTCCGATTCCAGGGCCTCTGGAGGGCTTGCGTGCTGCCCGCGCGCTCTTACCCCGCTAGCTCTCGTCTGGAGCGGGCACCGCGGGGAGGCCGTGCGGGTAAAAGGCAGGGTTTGCAGAGCAGGGTGTTCGAACTCACCGCCGCTTTCCAGTGAGGCGGACTGTGGCCACGGCCGAGCGGCCGGCGGTGGCTGAGTCCCACTGAGGCCCGGGTAACCTCTGCCCATCACCTTAGAGTGGACCTTTGTCGGAGGCAGGCCCTTAACCTTGGAGAGGGAGGCCGGTGCCCTGCGAAGGCTTAGCCTTCGGGTTGCCCGAAAACTGGGAGGCAAAGGCGCCATCTCGTGGAATGTTCTGGAAGCGCAAGTAGCCGTCCTAGTGGGCAGCGGTTAAGGACTAGGTGGGCCTTCTTTGACAGTAAGTGGTGTTAAAAGCGCTCCTGGTGCTTATTATGGTTTTACACTCAGAGTCATCTATCACTTTGCTGGTCAGTCCTTTGAAGTGGAGGTTATTGGTAGCACGAGGGAGGAGCATAGCCAGGTAAGCTGAAACGTGGCTTTGTTTCCTATTTCCACATTTTACAATTAAGATTTATTAACCTAGAAACACTATTTTTTTTTACTCTAATGACAATAGTGCACTTGTGTGCGCAGCACCATTTTGAAATACCTTATTTTATTCTACATCAGTTCTGAGTGGGAAATAGTTATTCTCATTCTACGGATGAGGAAACTGAGGTTGAAAGAATGTAATACTTAGTAGATCGTCCAGGTTATGTAAATTAGCAATAGACAAATTTTTTAATCTAAGATGTGGTAAACAGTTTTTTTGATGCTAACTTCCAACGCCATTTAAAATACCAGATTAATAATCTTCTCGAAGGTACTTAGAAAAAGGGTTGACTCCAGTCCGCCATTAAGTTTAGATATGCATAGTTTCAGTTACACATTTTCAAAGACATTCTGTCTCAAATACTTCCAAGGCAATGTAGTAGGGAGTTTTGTTGTCATTACAAAGTGAAAAGGGAAAGTCTTCTGTGTCTCTTCCTTTTTGATTCTGTAAACAGTTCAGGGCAAGCCCAGGCATGCTTCTCGTAAGTGAAAATAGACTTTACCCTAGGCTTATCAGGGCTGGAATAAAGGATGGGCCTAGGGGTGGAAATGAAGAATTACCTAATCCTACTCTTCATAAACCTAGGAGTGACCTTTGCTCCCCAGATTTATGCACTTATTTACTAGCCTATAGTAGGCTTGCTGGTTAAGGAAATATCTAAATTTCCAGAGCTAATTGTGCACATGTCTTAGTTGATAGTGAACTTTTAAAACTACGTTTGTTAATGACTTTCTGAGATAAAAGGACCAAGAATAGTCATGATATTTTTCATTATTTCCATTCTTTATCATTACTATTGTACATGTCTTTACTGCAACATTTGATAGACTGTTGAACATTCCATGGGAAATTCAGGTCTATCCTCCGAAACATTTGAGCAGTTAGTAAAATATTAACATGTATATGTGTTACAGGGTCTTCTGTCCAACTGTGAGAATCTGATTTTTTGGATTTTGGTGCCATCATGTGGACGATAACCAAAATTATTGTTCCTAGAACAAAAAAAGGCAACAGATGTACTTTCCAATGGGGATAAATATTTAATTACAAAATATTTGTTTGTAGTTCTGTAGATTTAATGGAATTACGAGTAAAGTCCCAATAGGATTTTTAGTGAAACTTGACCAGCTGGTTGTAAAGTTTATACGAAAGTGTTAGTGATCGAACATAACAAAGTCACTTTCAAGAAGAATTAGAAAGGAAGTCTTTCTCTACTAGCTATCATGACTTGTAAGGAAGGCATAGCAATTAGGAAAGTTGGTTCCTCTCACAGGGATGGAATGACCAATGAAATAGAATAAAGAGCATAGGAATAGATCCTCATATGTAGGGAACTTTGACATATGGCAGAGGAAGGGGGTGATAGATCAGTGAGGAAAGGAAAGACTTAAGTAAGTGGAACTAGAAACAAATGGTTTTACCATATTAAAAAATGAAATTCATATCTCTCACTGTTAGTTTTCTAGGGCTGCTCTAACAGAATACTACATATCGGGACTTAAACAACAGAAATTAATTTTCTCACAGTTGCGGACGCTGGAAGTCGAGGACCAAGGTTGGGCAGGCTTGGTTTCTCCTGCGACGTCTGTCTTTGACTTGCAGATCATGGGAGGGCACAGAAGATGGTGTTCCTTCCTTATGTGAGAGAGCAGCCCTGGTGTCCCCTTGTAGGCCAAATTTCTTATTATAAGGACAGCAGTTAGATTGGCCTGGAACTCACCCAAATAACTGCATTTAACCTCTTTAAAGGCCTTGTCTCTGAATACAGTCACATGCTGAGGTACTGGGGTTAGGGCTTAAAGATACGAATTTTGAGGGGAAACAATTCAGTCCATAGCACACACCATGTACATAAAATCTACTTCAGATGAAGTAAGGACTTAAAGAATAATAACAAGACAACATATCAGTAGGAAATACAGGCAACCAATGTTCTGAGCATAGGCTAGGGAAAGATTTTTTTTTATTGCAATAGAGTTGACATATAACATTGTATTAGTTTTACAGGTACAGTATAATGATTTGATATTCATATATATTGTGGAATGGCTAACACAGTTTACATCACCACACATAGTTGTGAATTTTTTCTGGTGATAAGAAATTTTAAGATCTGCTTGCTCAGCAATATTCAGATATAAATATTGTATTTTTAACTAGAGTCATTATGCTGTACGTTACATCCCTAGAACTCACTTATCTTATAATAGGAAGTTTGTACCTTTTGACCCCCTTTACCCATTTTGCCTGCCTCCCCTCACTTCTGTCAACCACCAGTCTGTTCTCTGTATCTATGAGTTCTTTTTTTTTTAGATTCCACATACAAATGGGAATATATAGTATTTGTCTTTTTCTGTCTGACTTACTTCACTTAACATAATTGCCTCAAGGTCCATCCATGTTGTTTGGAATGGCAGAATTTCCTTCTGTTTTATGGATGAATTATATTCCATTGTGTACATGTGTATATGTATATATATATGTACATACACACACACACAGATGGATGTATGTATGTATGTATATCACATTTTCTTTATCCATTCCTCTGTTGGTGGACTGTTAGGTTGTTTGCATACCTTGGCTGTCATGAATAATGCTTCCACGAACGTGAGAATACAGATAGCTCTTCAAGACTAAGAGTTTATTTCCTTTGGCTATATACCCAAAAGTGGAATTACTGGATCATTTGGTAGTTCTATTTTTAATTTTTGGAGGAATCTTCATTCTGTTTTCCATAGTGATTGTGACAATTTATATTCCCGCCAACAGTGCATAAAGTTTCCCTTTTCTCCACATCCTCGCTAACGCTTGTTTGTCTTTTTGATAATAGCCGTTCTAAACAGGTGTGAGACGGTAACTCACTGTGGTTTGGGTTTGACTTTCCCTGGTGATTAGTGATGTTGAGCATCTTTTCATGTACCTATTGTTCATTTGTATGTCTTCTGTGGGAGATGTCTATTCAAGTATTCTGCTCATTTTTAATTGGATTGTCTCTTTACTGTTGAGTTGTATAAGTTCTTTATATATTTTGCACACTAATCTCTTTTTAGATACATGATTTGAAAATATTTTCTCTCATTCTGTAGGTTGCCTTTTCATTTTGTTGATGATTTCCTTTATTGTGCAGAAGCTTTTTAGTTTGGTGTGGTCCCACTTGTTTATTTTTGCTTTTGTTGACTTTGCTTCTGTTGTCAAATCCAAAAAAATCATTGCCAAGACCAACATCAGGGAGCTTATTCCCATGTTTTATTCTAGGATTTTTATGGTTTCTGATCTTACATTAATTAACTGTCTATCTTTAATCAGTTTTGAGTTGATTTTTGTATATGGTATAAGTGTATCATGTATTGTGTATGGTCCAGTTTCATTGTTTTGCATGTGGTTGTTCAGTTTTCCAGCAGCATTACTGGAGAGACCATCCTTTATACATATCCAAAAATATATTCTGGGGAAAGGATAGTCTCTTTAAAAAAAGAACAGATTTCTTAACATGGGAAACCCATTAACTCTAGAAAAAGAAATTGATAAATTTTGCTAAATTAAAATTAAGAAATTTTATTCATCAGAAGACACTTTAAAGTAAAAAGACAGGTTATAAATTGGTAGAGATATTTGCATACTTATGACCAACAACGAATTAGCACAAGAATATATAGAGCTCTTACAAATTGGTAAGAAAAATGACCCCACAGAAAGATGAGTGAAAGACGTAAATAAGCATTTCATAGAAAAGGAAATACTGATAGTCAATAAATAAGATGAGAGTCTCATTAATGATCAGGGAAATACAAATCAAGACCATGTAAATTCATTCAATAGGTAAAAATTAGGAAGCCTTAAACTATCAAGTGATGGGAAGAATGTCAATCAACAACTTGCTTCGACGGTTTTGCTGGGAGAGAAAGTTGATCGTTTGTACACCTTGCAACCCAGCAAGAGACGTGCTTGCACGTATGCACCAGGAGACATAAACAAGCATAGCCATGGCAGCACTTGTAGTGGTAGCGAAAAAAACTGAACACAAAACGAATGCCCATAAGATAGAAGGATGGATAAGCAAATCGTGGTACATACACGTGATGGATGTTATGTGAAAATCAGTGAATTACGGATATCCACATCAGTATGAATAAATTTTAATGTTGAGTTTTTAAAAAGGCAAATTAAAGTTACTCTTTTTATAAAATTCAAGAACTAAATATCTTGTTTACAGATACATATGTATTGGTTTAAAATACTATTTTTTAAAAAACTTGGAAACGTTAAACACAACATTT